CAAGTTATCAAATATGCAGTGTTTGAATACGATATTTTGCTAATACACTGTGGAGAAGTAATACTGTTGACTGGAAAATTTTCGCTGAAGTTTGATTTTTGCCTTTTTCGCCTAAAGTGAATTATCATTGAAGCAAAGTTGAAGTAACATAATATATATCAAATGTGAAGGTCAATAATTAACACTGGCGCCAAATCGTTTTTCTGGGGAAGGAAGAAAATTTGACTGCAAAAATTCCTGGTATACAAAAGCCGACCCCTCTAACTGCCTCAAGTGGTTGTGACCCTTACCTGAGTAACTTCGTCCTAGCCTTCTCTGCCTTCCTCTTGTGGATGTGCTCCATCAAAACACGCTTGTTCTTGAAGCCATTTCCTTTGCATTTCATGTACAGTTCATGGTACCTGGAGACAAAGAAATAAAATATATTTCTTCTTTCGTATTTCAATATAGATAACGAATATAAGAATCTACATGACAAACTCTGAGAGTTCCTCTTTAAAATCAAATATCAGAGATTCCTTCCCTAAGGTGAAAGAAAAGATCCAATATTGTTTCTTTCCTTCATGCAATCTTCTTTAAAAGTTTGGTGGTAGACAGATGAAAGAATTTTGCAGTGTTAAAAAAGTAAAAACGTAGTTCATAAATATGTCTTTTGACAAATTCCAGCTCTTTTCAGGCACTTTCAGGTTAAATCAATTTCCAGATTTTTTTGTTTCCAATGTATGGGTACTAGTATATAGTATTAAAGTGACTCAATTTACTAGATTTGAATATATCATATATCAACAAGAATTCCACTGAAGTGGATGCGTCGCCTACGCAGGATGCTGGGAGATTACGAAGAAATAGATACACTTTTCATTTCAAGAAACAATGTTAAAAGTAAGCAATAATCATAAATTATGTTTTTGGATGGCATCATTTTGTTATATAATCTGTTATTCTGGGAAGAATTTAAGGAACTTGCAATGGATATTCATTGTCTCAATTCAAAGTTTAATTTGTATGATTTGTCGGATGGTTTCCCATAAATAAATGAATAAACTTGTGGATTATGATGTTAAACAGCTAGTGTTGTCAATAACATTTGGAGTAAGACGGCATTTCAGAGGTATACACGGTGGGTCAAGTGGTAGATCGAAGCCGTGCAGTATACAGTTTTAGTGAAATTTCTATTTATAGTAACAGAGACCTTGACCTTTGACCTGAAAAGCAATCCCAAGCAAGCACTTTTGGTAAGGAAGCACTGCATGAAGTTTGAGTTTGATCGACCCAAGGAAACTCAAGTTATCGCACGAAAACCTCTGTTCAGACACCGACGACAAAGCAATACCTATGCGTCATCAGTTTTTCGCAGGCGACACAAAAATGAAAATGATAATTAAGTGAGGGGGGGTTCGGGTACAGGGGCCCCTCCCTTTTTTTTTAAAACCTAGATGCGAAATACTGGCAACTGAGGATTTTAAACAAATAATGAAGGTTTTTAATTTTCTGTAAAATACTTGATTTTTCTCCTTACTTTTTCTATTTTCCCCATTTATGATTGATTAGGAAATGACACAGAAACAGGAAACAATTTTCAAATGGGATTTTACGGCTTTCTGGCAGAGTAAATATAGTCTTTATTAGTATCTTTCTTAACAATATTCACAAATATGCATAATCTAATCAAGCAATATGTGGTGGACCGGCAGTCCACCAAGCTTTGGGGGTCAAGTGGACCGTCCAAGATTTTGGTGGAAACGGTCCTCCGGTCTACCGTTAGTGTTGACCCCTGCGTCATCAGCCATATAAATTATGTTGTTGAAATTTTTCTGAATTGCCTCAAAATGTTGACACCAGAACTCACCTGGACCATATATTATTTGTGATGACACAAGGACTTGTTTCAAATATATGTCATAGGGTCATTTGTGTTAAAATTTGTTTATAGGGCTGTCACAATATATCGGAAAACAGGTATATCGCAATACACTGGTATATTGTATTGTACCACAATACAGAGATGAAATATTGCTGTATCGCAATATTTTTATTATCTGTTTGGTGTTGACTTTGCAAAAATTACTACAAATTCTAACAGATATGCCAACAAAGCAGGCTTTAAATAGTTCAAATTTTGAAATAAATGGTTGGTTTGACAAAAATCCTAAATCTATATAATTCATATTATATATGATGAAGTTTGATAACATTCTGACAACTTTTTAGAAAATTGAGCACATATTTTTACATGGTGTTACCTGTTGTCAAAGTGGTGTAGGGGATTCCCCTTTCATCTATTTACATTGTACACGCGAGTCCGGTATTGATCGTCCGGTGTCCTAGTTTACAATTCATGTGTGCTGCGACGTGAAAGGTGAGTGTATAAAAGGGGTTGGTAAGGCCAGGTGCAGCGCACTTGCCATTGGAATCACCTCGTAACTACGGGACACTCAGGTCTTGTTTTCATTATACTTGATGAACTACAGCTAGAGACTACATTTATTGACTTAGTTTCATGACGTTAAGTCACAGGCTATTTATTATGTTACTGAATATCATATTATGGGGTTTTCTACCTTGTTGTAAATAATGCGATATTCCGACATTAATATAAAATACCTAGCAGAATTTGTCTCTTTGATTTGTAACCGATCACATATAACTTACAGATGCTTGTCAATTTTCTTGGCTTCTCTGTAGCGTTTCAATAGTCTCCTGAGGACCCTCATTCGCCTGATCCATAAAATTTTGGAAGGCATACGGGCATTCAGGGTACCCTTCCTCTTTCCATGTCCCATGTGACGCCCCTTCCTTCGGGCGATGGCATTCTTCCTTACACGTGCACGTGAGTGAACTGCCACTGGTTTGCGAATGATGAGACCATCCTTGATCAGCTTCCTGATGTTTTGACCTATTCAAAATTATGAAAATATCAGCAATCAAATCACAACGCTGTTATTCCAATTTTGTGCCAGACCTACATTAGCGCTGCTAGTTTCATAATATATAAAATAATGACATGTCAAAAATATTTCATTTCACTAAAATTTCTCTTTCTGAAGTATTATTGTAATCCACACCGAAATAATAAGACAATCCTGGTGTGGCAATTTACTTCAAAAACTTCTTTCTATTAAAGGGATTTTTATAGTATTTTTTCAGTTTACCATATTTTCTGAATATCAACTCAATCCAACTTTTTTAAAACAGTAAATGACTATACAACATTAACCAGGTCTAGTACACTCTGCCGATTGAGCTATATAGCTGTAAAAACCTATAATAGCTCTATTGACATATCTCATATAGGTCTTTTGAGCTATTTTCATGTGATTTTCTTTTTTAAGGAAAAACGAAACAAAGTCGCTTTTAAAAGATGATTTTATCATTAGGTAGATAACAAAAGGCATTAAATATAAGCATTCTTTTAAAAAAATAAATGATGTAAAAAACTCAAAAATTTAACATTTATGAAAAATGAAAATAAAATCTAAATGTATGCTTTTTGTAGTCAATGTTACAATAAACTTTATTGTTTTATGCGACTTTCCTTTAAATTAATGAAAATTGAAATCTGAGAAAATATAGCTCAATACAGCTATAATTTATGGGTGAATATAGCTATATAGCTTAAATGGCAGACTGTTCTGTTAACTGTAACATTTTCTCACTTCTAGCAAACAGACCTACTTCTGATACTTACGTGAATTAGCATTGGCTATTTCGTTTGTTTCATTGGGATCAAGCCAAACTTTATTTTTGCCACATTTTAGCACGGCTGCGGCCAGCCTTTTCTGCAACCTGAGGGTACTGTAAAAGAGATTTTGAACATTATCACATCATTTTGAATTTCAACGAATTCCCTGCAAATAAATTTTCATCAGAGAACTTTAAATTTATGGAAAAGGTGGATCGATAGATGTTTAAATGTCAGTGATCCAAACTTTGAAAACAGGTACCTCGAGTTTGCAGTTATTTTAAGGTTAGTAAGGCAAAAACAAGAACAGAATCATATGAAATAAATATGAACAAGTACACTTTCATTTAACCCTTTGCCAAGCGTAAATGCCAACTTCTCGACAGAACAATGGGAAATGTAGATATTTTCAATATCTGGACCAACAACCCCAGTGAACGTTATATCACATCGCCACCGTGGTCTGGATTACAACGAATTACTTCGTCCATTTAATGAACATAATGTTAATCTATAAATCAAAGGGATTAATAATGCAACATGTCCAGGGTAAGGCCCGATCTAGTTTCCTTGTCTAGTCAAAACGACTAGAGTAAGTAGTTAAGAAATTAATCAACTAACGGTAGGCCGTTCCCTCGGTAAATGCCTGGAACGGACTAGAATCAATAGGAAGACGGTGTGAAAAATAACTAGTTTGCAATACTAACAGGTATGAAGCATTTACTTGTCCTTCTTATTTTTGTATTCCAAGACTAGCGGACTAGTGTTAGTGTGGATCACTGATGTTCTGAGAAACTCTCCCCATGTGGTTCTGTCGGCCATGTTGGCTCAATAGAACATATAAAACAACGAATTATTAAATTTATACGGACGACATCAAAGAAACATGTCCATCAAGTAGTCGAAATAACATTTATTCAGTAGTAAATCCTTTTTGTGTAGGACATTAGCAAGAGCAAAACGAATAAAAAGGAGATTGTTCGTAACCTATTTCGCACCTCATGGTTGCAGTTTCACGTTGTTGGAAAAAAGGAAGAGCACCGGTTCACTCAAGTGTTCTTGCATGCCACAAAAAAAGTCCGTGTTAAAATGTAAAATCATATGGATGTACAGAAATGCATATTGTATCTTAATAGCTGGATAATTCTGTCTAACTAATCATAATATGTTTTTAATCGTGTTATTTATACTGATATAATAAAACTTAAGCTTCATAACGTTAACGAATATCATAATATTTTCCTACGCATTTTTTACTTCCGTTTAGTTCGTTAATTTCCGTATGAATCCGACAGGTGTTCGTCAAATCTCAGACTTGGCGGGATTTCACGAGACATATGTCAAGGTTGAGTGGAAGGTCACCTTCTCAAGCAGCCGATGCATACCCTTGTGGGAGGTGCTTAATTTCCAAAAATGGATAGTACCAGTACTAGCGGGTCTAAGCATCCCCCACCGCCCCAGTCGTATAGGAGCAGGCAAGATAGCGTCATGGCGTTACCGGGAAGAGAAGGACAGGAACTTACCCACGGAAGTGGGGCTGGGAAAGCCATCGGTGTCTTCACCAGTGGTGGCGACTCTCAGGGTTAGTTTGTTTATAACCTGCACGTGTCATATGTTACAAATGTCACAGCACACCAGCATACGTGCGATATAAAGTGAAGATATCTGTTCACTATTCACATCATAATTCTATTTTTAGACCAAGGGCAACCTGTCACTTCTGATTTAACGGGTCAAGAGTTCTCAGACGTCTACTGATTATACCGTTTATTTATAATAAATTTATGACAATAATTATGTTACATGTATGATGTCACGTAACTCCTTTGAGGTTCATAACACGTTTTGATGGTTTTAAACACAAGTGCACTTAAAGTTGTTATGTAGACTAATTAGATAAACGCTTGCCTGTTTTCCTTAGGTAATAACATGGGCCAGTACACTCAGCCGATTGAGCTACATGTAGCCTATATAGCTGTAAAGACCTAGCTATTATAGCTCTATTGACCTATCACCAGGTTGGGGAAAACACCAACTTGCGTATATACGCAAACTTGCCTATTATACGCAAGTTGGAGTATGGATTTGTTACTAAAAATAACCCAAATCGCTTTAACAGTAACTTTTGCAAGATATTATTGAAAATCGCATTAATTTACGACAAGGTAAATAATATTTTGCTAAACGATGTTGACTGAAAGCATTGACTACTTAGAAAGTTGATGTAACTTTGCCGGAAGTATTGCATCTATTTTTGGTACTTTCCCACATGCAAATAAAGTTTATTTTTGCATTTGTATTATGTTTCATGAAAGAATAAATGCGACTCCATACCCCTATTGGCATATAATAGGCGAGTTTGCATATGATACGCAAGTTAGTGGTTTTCCCCGACCTGATCACTATCGGCTATCTGAAATAGGTCTTTTGAGCTATTTTCATGTGATTTTCCTTTTTAATCGATCCTGTCTTTAGACCTCCCTTTCAGGCACCAATACGATATGTATCCACAGGTCTGGCACTTCTAATTTTGATAAAAAAAAATATCTGAAATATCACAAATTGGTGTAATCCAACTTCACTAATGAAGCGTTGTCAGCGTCCTATCTATATCCGGGGTATTGTTAAGGTCGGAAATAGAGTTGTCGATAACTGCTGCAATTTGAGTATCGGAATCGGAGGTAGTTATCGACAGTATGTGGAAAAGTACCAATTAATTTTTGTTTTAACCATTAAAAACATATTTTTATGAATGACTTGTACTTCAAAGTTGCCTGTATGATTTCATAATATATATTTCGTGAATTGTGTAAGTTGAGAACATGTACCTGACAACAATAGTGTTGCTTAAGTCTATCCAGTAAACACACATAACTTTTCAAGCATAACTAAAATACTAAAAAATCCAAAGTTCTCAATAAAATCCATGTAGATAAGTCTTGTAAATATGCTCAATATAAACTGCAATTACAAATTAAGAAAAATATCAATATTTGAAGACAATGCAGCTATATATAGACAGAATATAATATATATTTTGAAAAGTAAACAATTACATAGATAAAATGTTGATGAAAATTGTTCTGTTAGGCAGGAGGTATATAACTTATTATCTTGTGAACATTAAGAACCTAAAAACATTTCCACAACGATTATTTTAAGAAGATTCAATTATGTTATCTTGAATTAAATTTCTGATCTCTATCATTGTAGGATAAAATGCATCATAATTCAAAATTGTTGGGCTGTTCGAATGCATCACTGGGGATCAAAAGAATATGAAATTGGGGTGGGACAACATATTGAAAGGGAACCAGAAAATGTATTTGATCAAAATGCTGTGACGGTGACTGTTTGCGCATGTCTGCAGAAAAGAGAGCGCATTTGTTTACAAATATATAACTTGACATATCACTTGACATGTTTATACCTTTTTTAAGCAATTGAACACACGTCAGAACAAATGAATGTATTATGAGAGATTAATGATAGAAATAATTAACATTTTAGTTAAGCTGTCGATAACTACATCCACCTGTCAATAACTGCCCCTGTCATTAATGCCACCAAAACAATGATTCGTCAAATGTACGCTTATTGCAGATGATGAAATAGAGTATGTTTCCCGACTTCTCCGAAATGCCATCATATAATAACTTACGCAAAACGGTAAACTGGAAAAAAAGGTTTCAAACTTAGACTTGATAACTGCCTCTATTGCTCTAGTCTATTCTTTTTATCCTTTTCAGTGGTAAATGGTTGTTTCGCCCTAAATCCTGTTCGCACTAAGGGTTGTTTCGCCCTAAATCCTGTTCGCCCTAGGTTGTTTCGCCCTTAATAAAATAATGATAATTTATACGTTCATATTATAATTTATATTTATTATTCAAATATGTCAACTAAACTTATTGATAACTTTCTACATTGGTGTAAGGTATATTTCAAGTAGAGTATGTGAGAGCGGAGTCAGCTTTTCACAGAAAATTATATATATTTGTGTAATAACTTGGAAACGTTCCAGATCCCCACGCTATATACCAGTGTCTTTAATTTTATATATATAGCTACTGGCCTTACATTTTACAACAGTATATTGCTTCATAACCAGTATTGATTTGGAATATATATATATATAATGTCATATTACATGGTCCATCATCCTGAAAACAGACATATTTGACATTTTATTTCTTTGTAGGTATGAACTCTGCTGTCCGGGCAGTAGTGCGTATGGGATTTTATCTAGGATGCAAAGTCTACTATATCAGAGAGGTTTGTCATAACTTATTAAGTGTTTTATAAATCTGATTGTTAATTCCTAAGAATGTGTGCCCTTGTTTGATACTTCCTAAAAGTTCCCTGATTTCATACTTCCTAAAGTAGACAAAACCCTGATCATGGTAATCTATTGCCATGATCACCTGATGTAAATCTAAATCAAGTTTGTTTTTCCAAAAATTATCAAACTTGAAACTACTGATAATGAAACACAGGAAACATAAAAGTTTGCTTCTTTGATAAACAATTTTAGAACCCATGTATACAAATTGGTGAAAATAAAAATAAAATAAATGATTTATAAAAAGATTTTGCAGTTGCTTATAAAACTTAGGATGGGGAAACAGGGTACATGCAATATATTTTCAATAAATTTATAGTTTGGAAGATGCAATTATTTTTTTGCTCTGATATTTTCAGATTTATATATTTTGGTTAATTTTATAAAATTGTTTTCAAATCATTCTGCATTCAAATAATGCTTAAGAAATGAACTGTGTTTGGTATAGACATGTAATGCTAAATATGATGGCTGAATTCTATGAATTGTGTTTAGCAAATTTCCACAAATTTTACATGTACTAGCCAGACTTGCATTCAGTGTATATATTTTTGCCTAGAAATTAATTCTCAAAAACCTTGATCACATCATCCCCTGAAATATTGCAGCATGAAACTGCTCGTAATACCCTATCCTACATTTTACCTGTCATAATTGAACTTAACCTCAAGCTTTCTCCTCATTGGCCAGGGTTACCAAGGAATGGTGGACGGTGGAGACCACATACAGGAGGCTACCTGGGCCAGTTCTTCTGGGATCATGCAGATGGTATGTATAATTAGCTGATGAGAGTCATGTCCTTCTTTAAAACTTAAATTTAAAAACATTTTGTTTCTTCTCTCTCAACCCTGCAGTATAGTGTTTATCGATTGACATGTGCAGATGATTGACATGTGCAGATAAAATCACTCGAAATCTTATTCTTATGAGTGGATTTCACTACTGGGCAAATGAACTTGGCATGCTTACACATCGTGTGGCTGAGTTGAAGCATTGATAGAGTAATACGCCTTACAGTATAATATGCAATAGATTCTTTGTTGTATTCACTATGACAATCAGTACAGTTCCTTGAACAGAGATATGACTTGTTTCACATAAAGTATAATACACCTTTCTGAGGGGAAAAAATCGGAGGAAAAATAGAAGCGATAAATCAGGGAGACTCAACGAAAGTCAGTTTTATTTGTCATACTCAAATTACAGTGATCTATTTATAAAATAATAAGGGCTATCTTACCTTTCCTGTCAATCATAAATAGTGCAGTTTTATTACATCATTACAAAAATGGTACTGGCAGAAACCTTTTGTAATCTATATATGGAGTCAGTGTTACAGTTTCTAGTGTGATACTCTTGAATCTGATTACATTTGTATTGACCTTTTACTGTTTGGTGAGCAGTGCCACTTCTGTATCAAGTTTTTGTTTTCCTTTAGAACAGTAATTTTTTTCTGTCCTCACACAGGGAGGGACTGTAATTGGCAGTGCCCGATGTGCAGATTTCCGTTCAAGAGATGGTCGTCTAAAGGCTGCAGAAAATCTGGTCAAGTGTAACATAACCAACTTAGTGGTGATTGGTGGAGATGGAAGCTTGACCGGTGCCAACCTTTTCAGGATCGAGTGGTCAAGTCTTTTGGATGAACTGTTAGAAGCTGGTAATTTAATTTGTTTTCAATATTTTCACAACCAAACACAAAATTATATAAGTTGTCCCGTTACCCAAAACTCTATTGATTGAGGGAAACAATTTTATGACCCGTGCCCTTTCCTGGCCCTCAGCGTATTTAATTGATTGAAGCCAAGTTTTGTGTGTTTTAAGCTTGCAACATTGTTGTTTACAGAGAGGATCACACCTGATCTCCACCAGCAGTGCAGCCACCTGAACATTGTAGGGATGGTGGGTTCTATAGACAACGACTTCTGTGGTACCGACATGACCATTGGTACAGACTCCGCCCTACACAGAATCATAGAGGCGGTAGACGCTATTGCAACAACAGCATCTAGGTAAAAGTTTATGTCTGCAAGTGTTTTTCAAAAATTCAAAAAATAACATGCAAACAGTCTGTTAGTTACCAGACAGCTGGCTACGTATACAGGCCCCTAAGTTTTACGAAGAAGTTCTGAACTGCATTTTACTGCTACTTTATCTCCCACTAAAATGATTAGAGAGGATTTTTATCCCCCGCTTTCACTGAAACGGAGGATATTAATTTGGGTTTGTCCGTCTGTCTGTCTGTCTGTCACACTTTGTTTCCGTACAATAACTACCACAAATGCTAACCGATTTTCTTCAAACTTGGTCACAGGGTTAAATGCCTTAAGGGCTCCGCCAAGTTTGATGACCACTTTCAGCGGACTCCATTTGGCAGAGTTATGGCCCCTTGAATAACGAAAAACATCATTATCTGCTGCATTTCGTTTCCGTGCAATAACTACAAGAAATGTAAACCGATTTTCTTCAAACTTGGTACCAGGGTTAAATGCCTTATGCATTATGTCTCAACAGCACGATACTCACATGTTTAAACCTAACCTGAACAATGTTTACCTACAATATGTCCTGAAAGCGGGGGATATACATTCCACGAACTTGTTTCTAAATAATTCAATATTTTAAAGACAGAGGCCAGTCTAATTTAATAACTAGTGATTAAGCATCAGAGTTTGTTCATGTATTTCATTAATTCTCGTAGTTCACTCTTAAATTTTTTGTGATATTTTCGAATTTGTTCAAGTATTTCAAAAATGTGCCTGTAATCAATTTAACAATAATTTTAATCTTTCATATTATATGAAGTTATAAGGCACCATCAGAAACAACATTTTAGAAATTTCTTAAAACTATATTGTATTGATTTTAATGTTTGTTTGTCCTATGTTTTAGTCACCAGAGGGCGTTTGTGTTAGAGGTGATGGGGCGTCACTGTGGGTAAGTAAACGTCTAGAGTATTGACAGCTTTGATACATGTAACATACAAAGGCATCAACTTTTTTGTCTTTTAGGGTCCCAAGGTCAATGTATTTTAGGGTCCCAAGGTCAATGTATTTTAGGGCCCCGAGGTCAATGTATTTTAGGGTCCAAAGGTCAATGTATTTTAGGGTCCCGACATCAAATGTATTTTAGGGTCCAAAGGACCATGTATATTAGGGTCCAAAGGTCAATGTATTTTAGTGTCCCGAGGTCAAATGTATTTTAGGGTCCAAAGGACCATGTATATTAGGGTTCAAAGGTCAATGTATTTTTGTGTCCCGAGGTCAAATGTATTTTAAGGGTCCCAAGGACCATGTATTTTAGGGTAGTTCAGTGGCTTATACACATGTATATATATTGTTATATTACAGATATTTGGGTTTAGTGGCTGCCCTGGCCACAGAAGCTGACTGGGTTTTTATTCCTGAATGGCCGCCAGAGGCCGGCTGGGAGGATACCCTCTGTAATAAACTATCTGCCGTAAGTCAACATTCTGTTTTACTACGTGTGCAGTGTTATTGTTTTTGTATGCAGTGTGGTATTTATAATCCAATTGCAGTGGACATAATTAGGAGGCTGTCCCCAAGATATGGTAAATGTTATCAAACTTAAATAGAATATTTTGGCTGTATTATGAAAAGGGTCATGTAGCACAATCAATAAGTGTTAAATTGTACATACGCTTACAGGGTAGCCGAATTGACATCGATTTGCGTGGACAACGTGAACACATTTTACACATTTGTGTACACGTACATACGTTTCACTGGTCATTTGTGTACACGTACATAAGCTTCACTGGTCATTTGTCTGATGAAGGTGGCAGAGTACATACCCCACTAGTCATTGAAACCTCACATATAAACACATATTGGTTGTGCTACATGAATCTTTTCACAATCTTTACTTACCTACCAGAGGAAAATATTTAGAAATATTTTGGCAGCTTTAAGGATGCATGTTTTGAAATTACAGAATACATTGTATTCATATGTTAAACTATTGTTTATTTCATTTCTACACTTTTTCAAAGATGAGAACTTTATTCTTTAAGGTTATTTTGATGCTTATGTATTAACACAAAAATAGGATAATTACAGAAACTAGTGTCATATTTCTGAAAATGTTTGACTTCATTGGATCTCGTTCATGTAGGAGAGGGCTCTAGGTCAAAGGCTGAACATCATACTGGTGGCTGAAGGAGCCATAGACAGAGAGGGAAAGAGCATCACAGCAGAAATGGTCAAAAATGTAAGAAAGTTTTGTCTATGTGGACAGAGCAGAGAGAGATTTACTGCTGATAAATTAAAAACATAAAATTGATAGTATACTATAAAACATGTTTGCATATAGACTTAGATGCATCACATTGGAGTTGATAAGGCTGCAGAGCCAATATTTTATGTGAAGGGTGGGAGATATTTTCAAAAGACCCGATCATACTAATTTGCCTTTTAATTGCTCCACATGTTATAACTCTATATTAACTCATTCACCCCTGAAGACTTATTTGAACTCTTCCAATTCAAAGGTTGGAATAGTTCATTATGGAATTTCAGGAGTCAATGAGTTAATACTACAAGGAAAGACTGGATAAGTTAATTCTATTTAGTGTGGCACCTTCATTTAGTCTGGTTTTTCCCTCTCATGGTTGTAGCTGATTATAGAGCGTCTGAAATACGACACCAGGATCACTGTACTGGGACATGTCCAGAGAGGAGGCAAGCCAACCGCATTCGACAGGATTCTGGTAATTATAGGAGCCTGACAGGAAATGCTCTTGTCAGGTTCTCAGGTGACTTTTAATGCATAAAGAATCAGAAGGGGGATGGGGAAAGAGAGTTATTTATTTATTTTTTCGAATGAAAATGTTTAACTTAAATACAGTGAAACCCTGATATACCACCACCTTCCGTTCAAAGACATTTTACAAATTTATGGTGTACTTTTATATTGTTCTTACAACTGAAAAATGGTCTGATTGCTGGTAAAATGGATGTTGTTTTCTACCGAATTATATTGTCTCTATCTAAGAATATCTAGAAATATCCTTGTCGGCAGGACTAGTACCCTGTAATGCTAAGTGTTGACCTATTTGTAGGGGGCTCGGATGGGAGCGGAGGCAGTACTAGCCCTGATGGACGCTGCCCCAGGCACGCCCGCCTGTGTTGTGTCACTGGACGGTAACCAGACTGTGAGAGTCCCTCTCATGGAGTGTGTACAGCGGGTAAGATTCAATTTTTCAAAAAAACAAGAAAAATAGTTTACTGGAAATCAACTGACCTTAAAAAATCCTCACGACCTAAGGTTTTTCTTTGGCTGTTTCACTTCTCCAATTGCTTGTAATAATGCTTGAAACATGTGAGTGGTATTCCAACCAGATTGTACATCACTGGCAGGAAATTATACTGACTGAAATAACAAATCAATTCCTTATCATTCAAAGTCCTAATGTTGATTTCCAACATATATCTTGTCAGGGAGTGGCTGTCAAGTTATTAAGTCCATTCTTCATTAACAAAATTCCCTCTTGACAGGCACTGGAGACACTTCCATTTCTGTATCCTGAGAAAAATTTAATGTTAAAGTTCAGTTATTTTTTCGCCTAGTTTTACTGCGAATTACAGGCTGCTTTCCCAAGCAAATTAATGCTATATTTTCGAGATAGAGAGAGAAAAAACAGATAACAATTTGGCATATCCTCCCAATTTTGGTATAAACATTAAAACAGGCTGTTGTAATATTGAGGAAAAGAAAACACTGTTGTTTAATTGCCTGGTCGAATTGTTTCTTCACTGGTATAGAATTGTTCTGACACCATCTGATTGCCTTTCTCTAACCTTCCTATCATGAGAAAAAACAAATCAAGTGTAATTTGCTGATCCTTTTACAAATGTAACAGTACACATTAGTAGTTCCTTCGAAGGTTATTTGGCCTTTCTGACGACTATATCTTTTCACTACAGACAAAGGCCGTACAAAATGCGATGGATGCTAAAAACTTTGAAGAAGCTGTCCGTCTTAGAGGAAAGTAAGTCATTCCTGAACATCTCTGATTCTACATCTTGGCAACAACTTAAAGTACTGACCGCCCAGCTATACTAAAGGATCCACGAACCACTGCGTAAAACTGTATTTAAGTAATAATGATAATAGTAATAAATAATCTTTCTCAACTCCCTGGGGAGCATACAGTCGGAGCTGCCATTTCGGCGCTAACAGCTAGCATTTAACAATTCTGCCCAACCACATACTCATTTACAGGTGAGTAGACTGGAACAAGCGGATACAACACAGTGCCGTGCCGTGACTCGAACTCGCAACCCTTCGGTCACGAACCCGGTGTCCTACCACTAGACTACCGTGCCTCCCTGAGTATGAGAAACTATTTAGTACGCCCTGATAATGGCTTTTTTAAATCGGATCTGAAAAGAAAACCATACCTTTATGAGAAATAATGAAGAGGAAATAAACCAAATATCATACAACAGCAGTGTTCCGATCGTAAGAATTCAGTGTGGCCAGACCAGGGTTCGAACCCGACCTCAGGGCCCAGTTGTTCAAAAGGTGGTTAGCTTAATCACTGTTTAACGACATTTTTCAACCTTTGACAATTTCGTCAATATGAAAGGAAAAATCTCACAATTTGGCATGTAAATTCACTCTTCTACATATTTGATATAGGAAAAGTTGCAACTAATTCAATGGTTGTGTTTTAAAGATACACAAAAATTAACACTTGCGCTCATCACTTATTAAGCTAATCATCTTTTGAACAACTGGGCCCTTATTGTTATACTGTTTATCCAACTGATTGAGCTACCTGGTCAATGGAAGTGTCCTGGTCCAACTGTTCTACAGTTATATCTGAATGGAAGTTTAGGGAAGGTTACTGTGTATAGTAAAAACCACAGTGCAGTGGGACAGGGATCTTTCAGTTTCAGAACATCATTTGAATTTTAGGCTTGTTAATAAAACCTGGCCATCCTCAAAAGTGATTTACATTTCATTTTCCTGTTGGTGGAATTCCTTTCTGCCTATTCAAAATATGAGCGTACAGAGGGAGACAATGATATACATGTATAAATAATTGGGGAAAAGAACAGTAAAGTGATGAGGTTATAAGTAACTCTCCCCTTCCCCCAAAATCCTGAATAGACCCTGGGATAAATTTATTATAAATAAAAACAAATGTGCCTCTAAATTCTAGAGCTTTTTAAAATTTAAGTTGATTGTTAAATTTCTAAAATCAAATGTTGAGCTCCTATATATCTATCAACACTCAGTTGACGGGATTTAGAGGGAATATTTTCTATACAAAAGATCTTCATGGAAACATTGTTGGTATTAAAATGTGTTATTGGACAGGTCAATCTGTTTTAAAATGAACATTTAAAAAAATTAAGGAAGAATTGAAGCTATTTGTAATCCCAAAACTTGGAATTTAAACTAAGTTGGACAGGCAAAAGTCTTATTTCAGACAGACAATCGTTTGCAGAAACGACACATTACCGATATTCTTGATAATGATTGTCATCTGGACTCAGTATCACCAACTCGTAGAGTCTTCCTCAAGCTTAGCCCACTCTTCACCTCCCATAGACTTTATATACTATAAAGAAGTAATCTCCCATAGGTGTACCATGGAGATTTCATCTTCCATTGACCTACTTTAGAGATTTAAGCTCTGACTGGGTAACGGGTTAGAAGCCTACGTGGGGCAGTCATCAGGTACTGAATGCAGGTCAGTGGTTTTCTCCAGGAACTCTGGTTTATCTCCACCCCAAAAACTGGCATATCCTCAAATAACCATAGCTGTTAATAGGACACTAGCCCTTTCACCACTGTACACCATAATGGACTAATCTATATCAATGTATGGTAGAGTCTACTCAAGTTACATAGGGGTGATAGGGTTAAACATGCCAAACAGTAAGGTCAAACCCAGCTTGAGACAGATTCAAGTGCTAGTGAAACTGCTGCTTGTGAGTTGAGTTTATTGAAAGAATATCTTTATCAACTGTTAAATGAAGTGCCTTGCTGTATAGATTTATATTCCTGCGTCTGCTAATCATTTAATCTTGTCTATGTTACCAGGAGTTTCCAAAACAATCTGGCTACATACAGAAAGTTGAGTAAGCTGCGACCACCCAAGGGGTTATGTGACAGCTCTGGTAAACACTGTGTTGTAAGTATTAGTCAGTATATCAGAATCTTAATGTCATAATACAGAAAGCTAAGCAAGCTGCGGCCACCCAAGAGGTTGTGTGACAGCTCTGGTAAACACTGTGTTGTAAGTATCAGCTGATATATTATGTGACCACCAGTTATATTATCTCTGTGCTGTAAGTATTAGGCTATATATATCTGAATGTCAAAATGCAAAAAACATCAGTAAAATTTGGTATAATTTAATGTTGCAAAAACAAACAAAAAAACAAAATAAAAACAAATTGGGAAAAAATAATTCATCATGGAAGACTTGTGAATTACTTCCTGACATTGTCAGTGTTGGTCATATTCCATTGTTATACTGTAAACGACAATATATTTAGGAATATATAGATTGTTTGCAGTAGAAATACCTCACAAATATATCTTCAGATTCCTTTTACAAGGAACATCAATATAGCTTTATATGCAGTTCCTCCTATGAATTCGCATCCTCACTCAGAAATAATTCTTAATATTCACAAAACTAGGTGATTTACAGTATGTATCCTTTTGTCAGTTGACAGGTATGTTAATCTACAAGAGAAGCTGAGAAACTGTTTTAAGCATTTTTTTTTTTCACACATACATGCATGCTGAATATATTCCTTTGAAAACAGTGCAGTGGTACAGTGTGGAATCTCCATAGGGATAGATGTTTTGAATGAGAAAATCTTAAAAACCAGAGTGTGTCTGTATAGCCGAGACCCTGTTGTCTTTTTCAGAGATAAACAATATGCACAAAACTTTTATCAAATGTTTCAGGAGTAATCTGAGAAAACACATTATCTGAATTATCCTGTTTAGACAGTAGGCTAACATTTCAAAAGGTTTAAGGTATTAATAGGATTGTGTCACCATTTCTCAGTAGAATTTCTTAAAATTTTGTAGTTATAGTGCTCTGAAATTAAGAAAAATTTCTGCCACAAAAAAAAATAAATAGGTTGTCATAATTTCAAGGAATTTAAATGGAAATTTATGTAAAAAGGAGTGACTTCTGAAAAAATAAATGAAAGACACAATTCTTTGCAAAATAATGTCAATAAAAATGATACTGCCATAGATTAGTATTGCATTAATGTATATCAATTTAATAAATGCTGAAATTATGTCAAATAAATTATCTATAAATGATTAAAAATTAACATTTTATAATAAAACCATATGCACATAGTAAGAGTTATCTTTCTTGAAAAACTTCACAGTAGTGAAATAGGTAGCCGGTTTCCTGAAGTACACAAAAATGGATACATGTGGCTCATCGATAAAAAAACCTGTATTAATGCCTGCATTGCTTTGAAATACTTTAATATTGGGAGAGAAAACACTTTCTGTCAATAATGAACATACAATATTCATCAGTTTAATATGCGAAAAAATGTGATACTGTCTCCCTACATTGGATTTTCAACTAGGGATGTACTTCCTATTTCCGTTTATCAATACACTCATTCGTGGATTTTACTCCTTGGTTCATTATTTCCTGACTGTTTTTTACAGACTGGAAAAAAGTTAGCTGTGATGAACATTGGTGCTCCAGCCTGTGGTGCCAACGCAGCTGTCAGATCCTTTGTCCGCCTCGCCTTGACCAAAGGTTACGAAGTGCTTGGAATCCACGATTCATTTGATGGGCTACTTTATGGAGATGTAAGTCTCAACATTATTGTCCTCTTTTTCTCTAATTTTATTGTGTGTGATATACTGTTTTCGCTAGTGAAAATTTTTGCATATATAGAAAGTTTTCCTGGTTTAATGCTAGAACTTGTAATATATATATATCAATTGTTTATTATATTTTAATGCGAATAATGTTTAAACCATCCTTTATCAGTTTTTGGATAATCTATTTACCTGAAAGATGTTTTCATTGACAGGTTGTCATACAAAAGTTGATAATTTGATCAGTAAGGGAATGGAAAGGATAAACCAAGTATTAAATTTAAACAAAAGTACACTGCAGAAATTTCCACTTTAAGGATTTGCTTTGAGTGGATGCTTATTATGAGCTGTATCCTATGAACTTGAAGCGAATTGCATTTAATAATTTCCTGAGTTTTTTACTTGTAGTCTTGACACTAAATTATACTGGGATTAATGTGTAAGTGCTGGGAGAAATAACATCTACAGCAGTTATGACAGAATTATGTTCAGCTAGACCATCATTCTTACAGTGTTGTGGATTGATCTTTACTGTTTTACAGACTGGAAAACTTACATTGTTATAACTTTACAGATATTACACTTGCAAAATGTTAATTAGAAATGGTTCAGTGTAATTGGTAAATATCTAGTATTAAAGGTAATTTAGCAGTACTGTCAAAAAAAACTGGGTCACAACCTTGATATTTTTGAAGGATTTTTTTCAGGGCAACTTAAGAATTAGTTGTATAAAAATGAGTCTGAGGTAATTTTGATAGAAACATATGTCCGACTGGGTTATCGCTAGTAACTCAGAATCAGTCGTATAAAAGAGAGTCATAGGCAATTCAAGTATCAATGTATATGGTATAGAAAACTGGATTATCAATTGTATGGAAGATGTAAGAAAGCAATTTAAGGATAAATTTATGATGATTTGATTAATAGTTTTATCGGAATTGTAGGAGGTATTTCAGGTAGAAATATTTTGCTGACAAGGATAAATTTTCATTTCTTAATTATTTCATACCTCACTTCATTTAAGTTTTTTTATGTTCACAGATTCACATCAACGTTGGTTTTAACATAAAATATCATGCTTCACATTCATTCATTTCAGGAAAACCCACATGAGGTTTTCTTTGATTTCTCTGAAGGAGTAAGTTAACTATTCCCATCATCATCATCATCATCATCAGCCATTATACCACTTCTGTCCACTCATACAATTATAGTCTATGTACTCAGATATTTCTACAATATATAATCTGAAATTTTGTACTTTGTAGTTAATTCTGATTTAAATTCTGATTTAAAAATTTCATCAGAACAAAAATATGTGTCTCCAATAATAAGAATGTTTAATACATGTGGATTTCCTCAGATTTATTTTAGGGAAATATGAAATAAAACTTTTATCAAATTGTTACACATGTAAACATCTCAAAAATAAAGAATTATGTCATGCTTTTATTATAATGCTTACTTTTCCATCTTAGTAAACCAAATTGCTTTACTATTTTAACTTTATTACCTGTTCCATTTTGAGGGAGTTTGATAAAGTTTTTGAAACGAGTGATGTTCTGTGGCACAAGAATTTGTCAAAACTATTCTTCACTGTTTTCCCGATACAATACATCCGACAAATACATGTATTATTATGAAATAAAGACTGTTTCATACGATTCTGATAACTATTACGTTTAACCCCTAAGAAATGGTGACATTGTGGGTAAGATGGTAGCTTTCACCTTGTCTGTCTGTTTCCAAAAAAATCTGAATTTGAATTTTTACTCAAAATTTGGTGCAAAAATAAAAATAAAAAAATCAGTGTTTAGTGATTTTGATCTTCAAAGGATACAGTTCATTTCCCCATCTAGAAATGATTTCAATAATAATTCAAATGGCCTGAAGAAATGCATTGATTGTGGAATTATAAACAGACAGTGCAACAAAATCACTATGTATATTATATACAATGCATACATGTATATCAAACAGCTAAGACGCACATGTTTTTGTTCCATTCCTGATACTTGGTATTTTACTATTTAAATTTCACGTTCTCCCTTTTGTCTTGTAAGGTCAACATTTTCTTAATTTTAGTTTACACTTTATTTTGATATTAAGAGAAAAAGTAATGATTTCCATTTTTTACTTTTCTGTGTGTTATAATCCTGAATTTTTTGGCATAATATTTTGTCAATTGATTGTATGACAAAGTATATTCACAAAATAACAAAAACATAAAGGTGTTCAAAGGTGGAAAAATACTTTTTTTTCTTTTTTTTCTTCCCTTTTTTGTCCCTTTTATTAGAAAAAAAAATAATTCTGAAACTTGAAATTAAAAAATTGTTGACCTTGACATCAAATAGACATCAAATATTGCATAAATGCTTGGCTGGGGATTGTTGTGCCCATCTCCCATCACTGGTATATAGGGTTAAATAACAAAATAATGATATTGTACTGGAAGCGTTCTGTTTTTCACTGTTTTATTTTTCCAAAATGTGCAACAAATTATAATTCCCAGAAGTTTGAAGAAAATCATGATAACATTATTGGAAATAGGTTATTTCAACTCTTTTCACTAGATATATTCTTTTCGTTTATTTTCTTTTGCTGTGTGAAAAACAGAACTTTAAAAGTTTATACTGTACATCACGGTGAAAGGTGGTTTCTTTATGGATATCTCTCATTCCTGTAAAATATGAAATGTTCAGGACAATAAAGGGGTGTTTATATTTCTATCTCACACCCCATTCATGTGTGTGTTGTCTTTTAATTATATATAAACACTGACAAGACGTCACAAAATCATCAATATCCTACACCCAAGGGCATGAAAGAGTCTTATATTCTTTCATTATCTATACCTTGTTATATTTACACAAGGCTTTAATCAAACAGTTGTATAATTTACCTGTTATAATAAAGCTTTGATTATGTATAATGTACATGTACATAGTTGTAACGCAATGCTTTCAAAAAAACCTTCTCTTGCACAGGAACCAGTTGTGAAAATAAATCCATTTATCTTCCCTCTGAGATACACAGATCTTTTTCTTCTCATCTTTCCTGGTGATCAATTTATAGATTTACCTTCAATGGAGAGAATTCAGAAAATTATCTCCTGTTAAGTCTAATTCAGACACACATTTATATCTCCTTTTGACAGAAATTTGATACAGTTAGATAGTTATCTCCCCTTGAGACAGAAGATGGTAACGTTCTGTTCCCTTAACTTAGAAACAGA